GGGATGGGTGTATCGGAGACAGTGCAATTGGCACAGGACAGAGCGGAGTTTAGGGCTGTTGTACATAGGGTCGCTATGAGTCACAAGCGACTCCATGGCACATAACAACAACAACAACACCACACTTGAACGTATTGCTTGCAGTTACTATACCAATCCATCTGGTTGAGGGTTTCCCTTTATCTCACTGACCCCCCACCTTTCCAAGCATGATGCCCCTCTCCAAGGTACAGTCTTTCCTAGCAACAGGCCCAAAGTATATGAAGAGGCTTTACAATCGTTGCCTTCAAGAAGCCCTCCGACTGCATCTTCGCCAAGCTTTATTTGTTTATTCTTTTCACAGTCCATGAGACATTCAATACTTTTCTCCAACACCACAATTCAAAGGGATCAATTCTTCTGCCATCCTTGTTCATTCTCAAGTTCCCAGATACACAGAAATAGCTGAAAAGATCATGATCTGAATCAGGCACATCCTAGTCCTCAAACTGACATCAAGGCTCCTCAGTGGATAGTAATAGAAGGAAGTATTCTGATCTGAGAGAAAATGCTTTCTTAGAACAGAAGCTCGAGGGGCTTCATGGAGAGCTTCCCATATCTTTGGTTGCAGGTCTTTCTCTTCCATCTAAATAAAGCATTCAATATTTCACTCTTCTTTATTTCTTCTTCTTCAAAATTTTCTCTTTGGTTCCAATTTAGGCTTTCTCTATTTCTTGCTCAGATCATGGCAGAAACCTTTCACTGGTTGTTTCTTCTTGGAACTCATCTCTGAACTTTTGAACACGGGTCTTCCCACCTCAGTGGAACAAGTATTTTCTGAAAGGTCACCTTGGAGCCTGGGCAACATCTTGTGCTGACTGCAGCTTCTAAGAGACATCCCAGTCTACCTGACGCAAGACAACTGGCCAATCAGAAGGAAACTCAGCCATCAACCACATCTTGCATGACTGAGCAGCTTCGTCATTGGAAGCTAACAAAGGGCATCCAATCAACTTTCTCCACGAGTTCTGACCACCAGTTTGACCTCCCTACCCTCAACCGCTACCTATAAAGCTTAACCTGTAACTAACTCTTCCTCACTGGTAACTTTACTGCCTGACCCTGCCTTTCTCTGGCCTCAGACAGGAAATCTGCCCCGAGAGGCACTAATAAACTCTTTTGTTTCACTTCGCCTGGTTTTCTGTGCCTTTTTTACCTTACATTTTCAACATCTGCTTTGAATTTGATATATAAATTACTAACATCCCACTCTGATATTCAATACTTTTTTGTCAACATTTCTTTCTATACTTCCCCTTCATTGACACAAACACCTCAGCTCCCACCTGATTGCCTTTTTCTTTGATGTACATGCTACCATCATTCCCACCTCCCAATAGTTGCTTGGGCTATTCTTTTTCCCTAACTTTTCTTTAATATTTTTTTACAACAAAAAACCCCTCCCAAACCCTCAATCTATTCATGAAGGATATGTTCAAATCTAATCTAACTGTCTGACCAATGCTCTAATAAGAATAGATTTCCCAATGCTTCCACTGTCTGCGTTGCTCCAGGTTGAAAGATTGATTGGAGAGGGAGCCTGCAGAAAGGCAAGTAGAAAGCAGATGCACTATGTTTTGGAAGACATTACGGGCAGGGGCTGGGGACTGTAAGAAAAGAAGCCGTGATGTGGCTGCTGCTGAATCACTAACTTAAGAAAGGTTGCTGGAACCTGGGCACCTATATTGAGCACTGCGACCATGGAAGTGGAATGTTTAAATGCCTCCTGTCTCACTTTCCCACAAATTCAGGTGAGCCCAAACCCCAACTCACTGCCACAGAATCAAACTGACTCAAAGCTGACCCTCCAGCAGGTTTTCAGAAATTGTGTTACTGCACTAGAGGAGATTGCCTATCTTTCTGCTGTGAAACAGCTGATGGATTCGAATCTTCTACTTTGGGGTTGGCAGCGTAACTCCTTACCCACTGGGCCACCAGAGCTCCCTTAGATGAGCCCATCTCCATGGAAAAGACCAAGACCAATTCACCTTTCCCTTCCTCCAAAGTGTGATCTCCACCCTCAGGAGCTGTGCCCTTCTCTCGGCACCCAACTTTCATTTCTAGTGTTTTAATTCCCTTTTAAAAAGATCCGGAATCAAGTTTTGTACAAAAATATATATTTGGAATGATAGTTATACAACAATATTCATTTCTACAATACTCTTTTTAGCAATGTCTTGGAATATTTTTTTTAAAAAAGGAAGGCTTACAGAGAAAGCAATATAAAGAAGATAAAATTAAACTATCAATAACTTAAATAAGATAAAATTATTTAAGGCATCATACTTAATATCAATAAACAAAGTTCATATTTCATGTATTGACAAAATAATATCAGAGAAAATCTAGGGAAAGCTTGAAAAAATAAATTAGATGTTTCTTGGGTTGTGGGTGTCATTTTGGGGGGCTGTGACAGTTTTTAAGGCTGTGGAATTGTGGGGGACTGTGGTAGTTTCTGGGGCTATGACATTTTGAAAGGCGTTGGTAGTTTCTTGGATCTTTATGGTTTCTGAGGTTGTGGTGACTCTTGAGGTTGTCGTGATTTTTTTGTTTGTGGTAGTTTTTTGGGTCTTGGTGGAAAGACTTGACCTTTGAGTTTTCTTGTCGAGGGTGGTAATGATATTCTGGACCCACTTCTCTTTGGGATCAGCACAAACCTCCTTTCCACGTATGGTCTTGAAGCTGTGGAGGAGAAGACTTAAAATTAAATAAAGCTCTTTGGTGATTTCAGTCTAGGAAGGCATTCCATCCTCCCCAAGGGGTCTCCTCAGGAATTAGAGAAGAGGGACGTGGAGAAGCGGCTTCAGGGCCTTCTCCAAGTGAACCCATCCTAACTTTAGGCTAAAGAATGTGGGCCAGCCTAAAGAAACCCCTCAGCTGGGGGTGAATGTCAATTAGGAGTCAATGTCCCCTTCGTGGCTTGTTTCTCCACTGGGAATCTTTGGACATTGGATTAGAGGGTGTATCACACGGACTCGACCACTCTAAATTGGTGAGAACTACCCCTTAATCCCTGAGGAAGGCCGTTTGGTCAACTCACAGCACAGCTTCCATAGGACACCTGCTGCTGGTGATTCTTTTGTAGCTCACCAGCCTCTTCGCAGAAAACTCCTGATTGTTGACTTCGTAGCAACAGGTGCCTGGGGAGGCCAGTGCCTCTGGAAAGAAAACCACAGAGAAAAATGATTTTAGGATGAGCTAGATTATTATGGTCCTTACTGCAGAAAATCATATCTAAGAGAATGTAAAAGGTAGGCGAGAATAGAGGCTGTTGTCATTGGCTGCTATTGAGTCAACTGCCACTCAGGGGGACCCAATGGGAGCAGAGTAGAACTGACTCCACAGAGTTCTCAAGGCTGAGACTCTTCAGAAGCAGATTGTAGGCCTTCATTTTGAGATATTTCCGGATAGATTCAAACGGATAACTTTTCAGTTAGTAATTGAACGCTTAGTCGTTTGTGTCACTCAGGGACTCCAGTCTCTAGCTGTTGTTAGGTGGCAACTAGTCCGCTCTGATTCAGAGCAGCCCTGGGTACCATGGAATGAAGTACTGCCCAATCTCGTGCCATCTTCACAATCTCCTCTGTGCTTAATTAAGCCCTTTGTTGCAGCGCTGTGCCAATCTAGCTTATTGATTACAGAACCCATTCAATTCTAATCTCTGCCTGTATCCCAGTGGTAGAATGAGATCTATGGCATATTGATTGCTGTCATCTATGCTATAGAAAAGGTTTATAGCATTGACAAAAATAGGAAGAAAGGCTATTAAAACTAGATAACTCTTGGGAATATTGGTAGGAGCAAGTAATAATCCAAATTATTAGGGCCAGGGAAGATGAGCTCAAGAGTTCTAGTTATGCATCCTGTTTCAGGCTCTGAGAAAGCCTGTGCTTTCCTCGTACTCACTGACTCTTCAGATCTATTGTTCAGAGGACCACCTGTGAGTGGAAATTAACTCAATGGCACCTAACAACAGCATTGAATCTACAAAGCCCCTGTTTCTCAAAATTATACAGATTAAAGCTCAGTCTAGACCCTAGTTCTCTTCCACTCCCCACCAACCTTCTGAGAAGGAGCTGGGGCAGTCACGGCACCAAGGAAGGGTCTACTTCTAAGCAGGATTTGGAGCCCACACCTGAAATTCTCAGTATGCTCTGCCCATAAGTATCTGCAAGATCATTCTCATTTTCATCTCCTCTGATATCCCTGAGCCTGAGAATGGAGATGCTAAAGGGACTCCAAGTATCCCTGATGCTATAATAGCCTGTGATACCCCAGAATGGGGTGAGATGCTTCAAAGGGGAAGAAAGGAGGCCTTACCTGGCTGAGCAAGCACCTGGGTGGGGAAGGTGGCTACAGCGCCCATCAGGCAGAGGATGGCCACGGAGAGCTTCATGCTGCAGGGTGAGGAGGCTCGGAGCTGCACCGTGAGAGCTGGCAAATTTTGGATTGTTCTCAGCCTCTCTGCTCCTCTGGCTGCTCTGCCTGTCTTTTATTGAAAGCCAAGGTGGGTGGAGCAGACAAAGAAAGAGGGCCTGGCCAAGGAAGGGCAGCAGCATCTTGAATGAATGACGAAGTGAAATTAAAAATATGCTGAACTAGTGTAGTACCACGAGGTTTCCAGGAAGTAGAAAAAGGAAACAGTGAGCAATTTTTTTTTCATCTGCTTTAAGAATGCAAAAGGAATGAGAGAGGACAGTGTGAGCTGATGCCCACACTGACCACAGACTGAATCCCAGGAGGCTCTTAGAGATTCTGCTTTCTCTAAAGTGAAAATTCTGCAGAAAAGGAAGGAAGGAAGGAAGGAAGGATGAGACCACAAAAGAGATTAAAGGATCAGGGCTTGTCTTACAGGCGACAGTCCATAGAGCCTGCCACTGGGAAGAGGACCTTGGCTGGGCTCCCAAACAGCACCTGAAATCCACATGCTCTTTAAAGCCAAGCGTGGTGGTGTAATTGAAGCAGGAGTCGAGGATGCTGTAATCGTAGAACTGAATCCTAAAAAAATCAAAGGACTTAAGGCTTGAAATAAACCATAGAGGTTACGTATTAAGGCAAAAGCTATTTTAGTAAAGCAGCCTTACAATACTTACTCTGCACCTGGAATAGTCTAAATACTTGACAAACAGGCCTTTAAAGCTAAGGAAAGTTTTACACATCATTGCAATCACTCTTGGATAGCTACCAGAGATGGGAAAGGAGAGATAGGGGAGTGAAAATTAATAAATTGTGAAGTTGGGTGAAGGAAAAGACAACATCCAAAAAAGGTGTACAGACATTTTAACTATTTAGGTATATTCATCTACTGCAATGTTTATAATAATGCATATGGATAATCGAATGTAAAACCATTTGTTAACTTTTACTCAGATGAAAAGAAAAATGTCCTTAAATCCCCTAGTCTTAGTCAGAACCAACTCATAGTTGACCCTCTAACAGGTTTTCAGAGCCAGTGAATTGCATGGGAGGAGACTGCCCATTCTTCTCCAACAGAGCAGCTGGTGGATTTGAACCTCACATCCTATCTGGTTGGCATTGTACATTCTCATTTTACAGATGAGGTAGTTGAGGCAGAGGGGTTAAGGAACCTCCCCCAGTATAGATCCTGCGGGTGAGCACCAGAGTCTGTACTGCTCACCTTTACGATATGCTTCTCTAAGGAGAGCTGCACAGCTCTCCCAGGTAGGAGCCTGGTCATCCCTCTGGCTCCTCTTTTTCTCCTCAGAGTCCTCCAAACTAGCAGACTGATGAGAGTGAACAGCATTCCTGAAGCTTAAGTCACTTTGAGACTGGCATCTGTGGTTTCTACCACAGGCAGCAGCGGGGAAGAAACGTGGCCCCTGCAGTGGTGACTATTCTCCCCCAGCTTCCTTCTTTGAGCCTCAAGGAGATTGAGTGGGCACAAGGCTATTGGAGGGATTGGAATGCCTACATTCTGGAGCTCTGCGTTTATGGTCTTCAGAAACCACAGAATCATACTAAGAGCTGGAAGACCTTAGGGTCAATTTAAGTTAACTCTTCCCTATTACAAATATAATAAATAATTCGGTGAGACACATTAGTGGCTGAGCTGAACCTGGAATCCAGGCCTCTTAATTCTCAGCCCAGTGACTTAGTACATCACACCGTCTCATCCTTCTGAGCCTGGATTTACCTGGGTCCAAATGAAAACTGTTGCACTGCATCCAAGGCAGATTTTTTTGTTCAAGTGCAACCAGAGTGCTCCTTAGAGGCGAGGATGGTGAAACTTTGTCTCACATGCTTTGGGCATGTTGTCAAGTGGAGCCTTTCCTTGGAAAAAGATATCTGCTGGGAAAGTGAAAAGGCTAAATAAAGAGAGGAAGACCTTTAACTAGATGGGCAAATCCACACAGTGACTGTAACAATAGCTTGAATATGTCAGAGATGCTAAGGACAGAGCCAGGTTTAGATCTGTTGTTCATAGGTGGCTGTAAGTTGTAGTTGACTTCATAGTTCCTAACAACAACAACAAATGGGAATAAAAGACTTCTTTCTTAAAGGGTCATTGAGTCAATGTGTGAAATTGTACAGAAGTTTTTGGCAGAAAACCCTTGACAGTCATATTTGTAATGATAACAAAAAGGTTTAAATGAAACAAAAGACTGTACCTGAGTCACAGTAAGTGTTCAGTAGTGACTCCTCCTCTCCACATAGAAATAGGTGATATTATCAAGTGTTTTGTCAGTAACCACACACGCTGATGGCTTCTCATTAGTGTCCTAAACAACTGCACTTTCCTTATATTGAAATTGACAGTGAATAGCTTATCCAGAGTCTCACATAGACTGGTAGCAGGTTCTAATAATCTATTCAGAAAGTTCTCCAAATATCCCGCTCCCAAGCACCAGATCTAATGTTTCGTGGGGCAAATTGGCTTTCCAGAAAACCCAAGAGCAAGATCTATAGAGAGGCTGTTTTAGAGTCTTTAGTAGAAATATCAATAAGGTAAAATCAAAAGAAAACACACTAATACACACACCGCTTGGTTTCTACCCCCCATGGAGTCTTCATTTTATTCTGCCTGAGTTTAGTGATACAGTATTTTGTTAATGTTGCTCTTGGTTACTGTTGAGTCATTGCCAACTCATGGTGATCCACGTGTGCAGAGCAGCATGGATCCAGAGGGTTTTCAAAACTGTGACATCACGTCAACAGATCTCCAGGCTTGTCTTCTGAGGCCCCTTTGAGGGGGCTCAAGCCACTGACCTTTCAGTTGGTAGCTGAGTGCTCAGTCATATGCACTACCTAAGGATTCATTATATAAGAGCAAAATAATCTTAATGATAGTCTTTATTATGGTAAGAAAGTAATAAAAACCCAAACTTTTCTGGTTTATTGAGAGATAGTTATGGATGAATGCCAAATTTTGTTGAATGCTTTATCTGTTGAGATTATTCTTAATTATTGTGTTAACATGAAATTCTTCTGATTTTGACTCAGATGATTTCTTTCCAGTGAATAAAAACATTCCAGGAATGGGATTGTGTAATTAATTCAACTCATTCCTTCATAGACTGTCTCACCTTGACTTCTGAGAAATTCTTTGTCACATGACTGGAAGCCCCTCACTAACCCATTTTTGTGGCCTTTTCCACATGCTTCAAGGATTGCGTCCCATTTCCCTGTGGATTCCTTTACATTGCTGTGATGGAATGAAAGTGTCCTCCCAACATAACCCCTTTGTCTTTGGAGAAAATCTCTCATGGGAATAAGTATGCTAATAAGACAGGATTAGTGCAGGGTGTGGTTTTTTTTAATCAATCTCTCTTGCAACTTTAAAGAACTTAAGCAAGAGAAGCAGAAAAGGGGGACTTTAGATGCCAAAAGATCTCCAAGGGACCAGGAAATAGAAGCTAAAAGACAAGTGTCTTTTCCAAAAGTTCGCAGAGAGAGAAGGCCTTCTTGTAATGCTGGTGCCTTGACTTTGAATTTCTACCCTCATAGACTCTGATAAGTTTCTACATGCTAAAACCATCTATTTCTGGCATTTCTGTTAAAGCAACACATAACTAAGACAGTTCCCGAAGATTGTCCATCCAGTCATCTCTTGAGCGGTCTCCAGTTGAACAGCGCCCAAATCTATCAACTGCTTTTTTTTTTTTTTTTTGTTTCCTTCACATCATCATCACCCAGAATTCTGGAATTCTCGAACCAAATGACTTATCAGGATGGCATAGAACAAACTCCTCCTTTTAACACGAGGAAACCATGGTCCCAAAGGGAGATGAACTGGTCCCTGGTGATACGAGAGAGCTTCCCAGATCTTCAGAGAGAACATCAGCTTTGGAAAGTGACTTGGACATTGCAGAAACCAGACAATAAACACATCAGAGATGACAGGGTGAGTGGATCAGAGGAGAAAGTTCTCCAGCAGATGATGTGGTCTCCCTCCCACTGTGCTCGTTGTAGGAGACCTGCTGTTCTTCAAGCTGAAAGGTCGGACCCAGGGTGAAAAGAAAGAGTGGAAATTCCCATTCTGAGCCCGGCCGCTTGGGAAGTTCCCGATCATGTGGAAGACAATGATGCTTTTGGCAGGCGCCTGCATTCCAGATGTGGAGCCTGGTGCCAGGAGCCTCACGTGGGGCTGTGCTGGGAACACTCAGCTCAGTGGCCTGTGCTGGGCTCCTGCTTTGGAGACTAGATGGGAAAGGCCTGGCGAAGGGATCTGGAAACGGGGGGCGGGGGTCGTTGAGGACTAAGCCCTTGATGGTCCTCAATATCCCCAGTCCCCCTGGAGCTCCCTCCCCATCAAGACCCAGATGAAGAATGTAAAAGTTCCTCCTAGTGAATAATCCTTTTTCCTTCCGCCCGGTGGGCGGGCTGACCCCAGCACTAGGATCCTCCGCATGTACTTTTGTCATCTCCGAAAACTCCCACTCAGAAAGGAGGAAGTGAAAGTGAACTTTCTAGAAAGATCAGAAGCCAGTGCCCACTCCTGAGTTTCTTGCTCCTGAAGTTCTCCTCTTTTTCCCCTTTCCGCTGGGCAGTCCAATGCCTGGAGCTGCATGATTGTTTGCACACGAGACCATTGTGGTCCACAGAGTTTACAGACGGAGGTCACCAGGCCTTTCTGCCTAGTTCATTTGACTCTGGAACTCCCTGATACCTTTCAGCATCACAGCAGCACATAAGCCTTCACTGAGAGAAAAGTGGTGACTATGCAAAGGTGCACCGACAGAGAATCAAACGTAAGTCTTCCACAGGAAGGCAAGAATTTCCCCCCATTCACCTCCACAGGTCTAGTTGAACAACCCCACAAGGGCTGAGAATGGGAAACACTGATTAGATAGGGGTAGGCAGTGAGCAACTCATTTTGCCTTTACAGAGTTCTTTTCTGTGGTTCTTGGGCAAGCTTCTAGAACCACCTAGATTAGA